CTCTGGCTACTTTAAGATGTGGACTTCGACTCCCAGAATTCCCCAGCCAGCCATGCTGGCTGGGGAATTCTGGGAGTCAAAAGTCCACGTATATCTTAAAAGTTGCCAAAAGTTAAGAAACACTGACCTAATGGAAGCAACCATCAATCCGTACAATCCCCTTTGTTGATAATGCCCTTTCTCAAAAATATATATATATATATAAATATTTTGCTCTGATGAAATCCTTTTAACATCCTGTTCCCCTTGCTTCCTTTGGAACGGCCCTATTTCATTCCTTCTGTTTTAATATTTGAAAATGTCTTATTTATACTACGAATTTTCCAACTTTGTTTACATTGGGGGGGGGCGAGTCTTTTTTTTTTTTTTAAAGGAATACCGTGCTAATGGGGGGAGGGAGGGAAGGAGGGAGGGAAGGCTGTTCCTCAAAAGAAGAAAATCGGGACAGCTTCTTCTTTTTTTCCTTTATTTTGTTACGAAGAGTTCCTTTGTTGCCTTTTTTTTTTTTAATTTCATCCGATTTCCTGGTTGCCTCTCTCCCTGCCTCCTCCCCCCCCCCACTGAAGTCGCGGAGGGTTTTCCACTGTGAAGTGATATTGCCTTGAATACCCTTCATTTATTTATTTAATTAAAAGCATAAGTTTGTGGAGGGGAAGAAAAACCAAATGGGAGACTTGTGTCTTTTTTAAAATATATATATATATAAATAAATATATATCTATATCTATATCTCACTTTCTTTCTGTTCCCCCTTTCCCTGTTCTGATTTCTTCTCCCCTCTTTTTTTTCTCTTCTTGCCTTATTTTCTCAGTATATTGTTTTTCTTTGGTCATTTCCCCCCCCCCCCCCCTTTTTTTTTTGCGTTAAGGTGTGGGACACTTTGGCTGCCTCAACCCGAAGAGTCCATATACAGGTAGTCCTCGACTTAACAACCACACCTGAGTCCAGAATTTTGTCCAAGACAGTTGTCAAGCGAGCTTTATTCCATTTTGCGACCTCTCTTGCCGCAGTCGTTAAAGCGAATTGCTGCAAAAAACGGTCGTTAAGTGAATCTGGCTTCCGCCCAATGACTTTGCTTATCCGAAGGTCGCAAAAGGGGATTGCGCGATATCCGAGGATAACTGCAACCGTCATAAACATGAGTCACTTGCCAAGCGTCTGAATTCTGATTGATTGTGGGGGATGCTGCAACAGTCGTAAGGGTGAAAAAACGGTCATAAGTCACTTTTTTCAGCGCCGTATGTTCGAATGGTTTCTAAGTGAACTTGTTGGGGCTCCAACAAATCCACCCCCATTCAAATCATAAGTCGCTAGCCGCATCTCTCAGAGGGGGAAAAAAAAGATTTATTAGAAGTGGTCATGTTGGACACTAAAATACATCATTATTTCCCCCTTGACCCTGGTCTTTCCCCCCACCCCCTGGATGTATATTCTCCAATGGGACACATCCATAGCCAAGAGTCATCAATCATGCTCTCCAGTAATAGTCTTGCGTGCCAACAGCTTTGGGCTGCCAAGGCAATTATCTGAGGCACTTGAGGAATGCACTGCTTTCCCTCACTCTCTTTCTGCTGGCAGCTAAAAAGACCAAAGGAGTATCTTTTTAGTTGACAGAACTGTTGTAAGTTGAGGACTACCTGTACTTTCAAGTCCTCCTCAGTCTTCCCAGCTTATTTCTTTTATTATTTGTGAATCTACTTTGCAGGGCCTCCCATCTATGAGAGAAACTGAATAGCAAAGAAGCAAAACAGTTAAAACTAAAAGCACATTGAAAACCTAAAGTGTTGGAACTAAGCCTGAGGTGGCAAACCCTGGCATCTCAGCCTTGGTCTCTTTAAGAGAGGTGGACTTCAACTCCCAGAATTCCTCAGCTAGCAGTGCTGGCTGGGGAATTCTGGGAGTTGAAGTCCACACACCTCAAGGTTACCAAGATTGTGGGACATGTGAACTTCTCTTGGGAGCATCCTTCAAGAAAAGGCGGCCAATGTTAAGAAGTCCGGTCAACTTGTCCATGTGGCATGGACCTCTCACGAGGGAGCCTTGATGGAAGACCTCTCTTTAATCACTCGACTAGCAGATTTGATTCTTTTTAGAT